GCGCCATTTTGAAGTCCCGTTTGATCACGTGCTTTGGTATTTGAACATTTATTTTAAAGGGACACTTTGCTCAAACAAGAATCATCCCATTCTACTTTTTTGTTGGGTTTTTTTTTGTCAAGAATGTGTTTTACTTTACTGTATTTTTTTGTCAAGAATGTGTTTTACTTTATTGTATTTCTTGCTGAATTTAGCCTGACAAAGACAAGATGAAATTACTTTATTCTAAATTACAAGGGATAACTCATTCTAGACAAACCACATGGTATGAGGCTCTACAGTATTGTTAAAAATACATGGTTTTAATTAAAACTTGGCAATATATGTTCTGGAATAAATTCAGATAAAAAGAAAAGAGATTCAAAATAACAAACTGTTTCACAGTGGTAATTCAAAAGTCCAAACTGATCAGCAGTAAATCTTCGCTTTGTCGCTAATATTGCTGAGAGGGATGACATTGGAGCAAGCTATTTTTAAATTATTAGAAAAATAAATAAGGGTATTTGAAGGATATCTCTATAGAAAATATTTCCTATTTAGCATATATGGGTAGCCTGCATAAAATAGTATAGGGAGGCGTGAACATTTGATTGGCTAATTCCTCACATCAACCAGAACTTGAGTAATATAACAACTTTTCCAGATCCTTGGGTAGTAAAGATAAGTAAAATAACATGACACTTTATTTTGACATGAATTAAATAGGAGTAGCTAGTATGTACATGCAGCTCCTTTAAATGTTATTGCTCAGTTACATTTTTTCTAGTAAATTCCTGTAACAACTTTTTTCTATATACATGTACATGTATTTACAAAATGTCCCTTTAGAGTGCCATCTCTGAATCGGTCTATTTCTTTTTTCTCTATGCACACAAAGCTGACTGACAAAAAAGCATTGTGTGCTACCACATTTATTTATCCCCATTCTTTTTCTGGGTATTTCTTTCAATAATAGCCCAACTGGTTTGTCACTAAGATATTCAGATAAGGCAACTTATATTTATGACACGTGTGATAAATGTATGCTTTGCCTCGGAGCCAGGGCTGGGGCCATTACATTGCCTTACATTACCATTCCCATTACCTTTTAAATGTAATCATTACAATTACTTTCTCATTTTTAGCAATGTAATTCATTACCATTACCCATTACATTGAAAGTAATTAATTACCATTACCCATTACTTTATGACTATATAAATAAAAAAACATTTATCATAGAAATTAAAAAGACAACCATATTTTTTTGCCATGAAGTACCTACAAAATCAAACTCAAACTAATCCTTGATTCACTTAAAGTAGCTAATTTCAAGTCTCGGAGCTAATTTGACTCAATAAGTAAGGCGCTGGCTCACAAACCAGGAAGTCCAAGGTTTGATTGCTGTGTTGGTGGATAAAGGTCCCACGGATTCTCCAAATTGATTTCCCCTTGCCAGTGATGCAGAACGGAGGGGCTGGCAAGCTGGAATTCGTAATAAGAGTAGGGCATAGTGCTGCTGTCCAGGGGAAAATTTCCCTCAACACACTTTATTGCATAAACCCATGTTCATTAGCCCAGTCATTGCAAAAGATAGGTTGCCAGGCAATGAAACATACGCCCACAGCAGCTAAATCGTCCGGGCAGTCAACAAGAGTTGTCGCATATTTTTACTTTTTTCGGTTATAATACACTAAAATCTGATTAAGAGCAACAACTCAGAAAACCATTAGAATTTGTTTAGTTTTTATAAAGTTCTGCCCCATGCTAACGTTTTGTATACAAAACTTTTAATACTGTATCATGAATTTAGCTGTTCCAAGTCATAAAAATTCATTGAAAATCAATATACTTGTTCGTCTCAAGATCTTAAACTCTGTGTATCAATCTGCAGTCAATCGGATATTAACTTTGGCCTCTAGAGCGTCCACAAGATTTTTTGAAGTGATCAAGGGCCATAACTCTGGCAGTAATTATCGGAAATCGCTGAAAATCAATAGGCTTCTTCGTCTCATGACCTGAAACACTGTGTATAAATTTCAAGTCAATCGGATATTAACTTTGGCCTCTAGAGCGTCCACAAGATTTTTTGGCAGTAATTATCGGAAATCGCTGAAAATCAACAGGCTTCTTCGTCTCATGAACTTAAACACTGTGTATAAATTTTAAGTCAATCGGATATCAACTTTAGCCTCTAGAGCACGGACCGACGGACGGAAGGACAGGGGCGACGACACGACAATATACGACCACATTTCAATGTGGGCGTATAAAAAGCATTTCATTAGCCTTGGACAACTGTAACTCAAAATGGTAATTTCTTGATTCTATTTACATGTTGTTGATATGTTGGGTGATTCTGTAGCCTGTTTGCTGGGATAAAGACCAGAGTATGCTCATCGAAACGTCACATTGTATTAAACTCAGTAATTGTATATCCATAAAAATATAGATATCTTTTCAAAACTATAAATGTTCATGTGCAATTAAATAATATGCATTATTTATTAATTTTGCGACTCCTGAGGGGGACATCAGCCTCCCTATTGGCCTATTGATGAAAAAGGTTGTAAAAATATATATTGTCAAAGAATTAAATACAAATCATAAATACATCTATTTATAATAAATTGCTTCTTTCAATGTTCCGTTCTTCAACTAGACCATTGAAGTTGTTTTGGCACATTTGGAAAAATGATTTATTTAAAAGTTAATACTCACCATGTGATATTCCATCATTAATCCATTAAGAAATCCATTAATAACTTCTTTAGTCACAGAAATAGCACATCCTAACAGAGTTTAATCTAGCTATTAATTCATATTATCCTTTACATATTCTTTGTGTGGAGTTGAATCTCCAGATGCTGAATTAAATACTCATATTATTTACAGCATTTTGCAAGTTTTTCTAAGGACTTGTTTTTAGTAGGTCCGTTAAATATTTTTTATTTAAACATATTATAGAAATTGCCGGATTTACTTTTAGCTTGACAGACTGAAGCCCAGGGCCTCAAGATCTAGGGAGTCAAGGCTTATGAGCCTTTCTTGCCTGCACTGCAGACATAATCGTAAACATCTGTCATCATCATCTTCATCTTGTTTTAAAAACACACTTTGATCTTTCTCTAGTCATGAGGTTGGGTGATTGGAATAAGAACAGGGCCTCTCTTCATCTAAATCCAGCCCACATTATAGATGACACCAAATATAATGCCCAGGAAACCCAGTGTTGCAAACTCGAAAAACATGGTAATGATCCAATCGAGTGGCTGGATTTGGGGGTTGGTTTTAAAATATTCAGATAATCCCAATCTTGTTTTTCTAGTTTCTCATTATAACTTCTTAGACAATGAGCTGAAAAATCCTTGTTTATCTCAACATAGCATAATATCTTATAGTGTCCTCATCAGAATAACATAATCTTTTCAAAATTTGTAGCTGAGCTGGCAGAAATGTTCCTTATCATCAGTTTGTAAACAAACTTGAGCTTGAAAATGTGAAGACAGAAAGAAGAATTTATGAAAATAATTTACTTAGTTGCCTTTAGAGGCATAACAAAATGTCCATTAGGTAAACCTGGCTTCTATCAAGGAAATGGCCCTATCCATTTTTAACATCATAAAGGCCATTTTCTTCCTCAATTATTAATTTACCCCCCAAAATAGTTTATTGATGTTGAGTTTAATTGTTAACCTAAACTTTAACATACTGTTTAAAGCTATTTCATTTTGAATTTAACAAGAGAACAATACATGATAGTTGTATGCATTTCCAACTAGTACTGTCTGAGCCACGCCATTTGGGAATCAAAATTCCATATACCAGAACATAGATTGTGTCAACGTCTTTATCTATCCATGTATTGAAAATCACTTGCAATGTCTAAGAAAATAACCATTAGTGTCCATTTAGATTCTTTCAAGTGTGGAGAAGCATGGTGAGTCAGTGAGTAAGACGTTGGCTCGCTAACCTGGAGTTCCCCTGTTCGATCCCCGAGTTGGCCGAGAAAATTCATCAGGATTTTCTGACGTGGTTCCTCCTTGTCAGTGGTTCAGGACTAAGGGCCTGGCAAGGGACAACGTATAGTCGTTTGGATCGCTCGACAAATACCCATGTCCCGTGTACACATTGGCGTACCCGTACAAATTCCAGATTTAAGCTTGGGAGGTTTAAGTGAAAATGATGTTGTTTTGTTGTCTTGATTTAATAATGTGCAAATTGTAATTGAAATTTGCGAAAATTGCCAAGTTACATAAATATTTAGAGATGTTTTTCCTTGACAGTTGTGGTCCTAAATACATAACCTTTGACTGGAAACCACTGTTAAAAATATAGTTCTTGCCAAAAACATAAATTATGAGATGCCTCCTACATGAACAAATTTTAAGGTAGCCACCATTTATTGTACACTGGGAATATGATGAATGAACAAGCACTTTCATTACAGGCAACATGTATGTAATGCATGCTCAAGAAATCAATGTCAGAATCTCTGGTTGAAGATAAATAATTATTCATTGATTGTAGATTTATAAAGCAGTTTGAGTCCATAATTATATCCTATGGGCACTATAAATTTAACACTTTCTGATAAAAATAAGTTTTGAGGGTTGTACAGATATCTTATAACATTTTTGACTTTTTTTGTATACCTGACTTTTACTTGCTATTGCTGGTTATATATATTCAAGTGATTAAGTACTCTACTCGAGCAATTCTAGATTTGTCATTTAAAACAGAAGTTTTCTAATTACAATTTAATTTAATCATTAAAAGGCAAACAATATGAGTTTAATGAACTGAGTCAGGTAACTGGTTAATGTTTCCATATGTTGAATTTCTCGATGCTTGTATGTTAATATGTTCATTTTTTTCATTTAAATACAGATATATATATATTTGTGTGTCTTGTTCAAAACTTTATAGTTACCCCAGTCAGCAAAGCGAAACATTCTTGAATTCCAGGTGGTCTATAAATGCATCATTACATAGCAAATGTCAGTATTAATGAAAAACTCTTTCTTTTTATTACATTTTTATTTTTAATTTTTTTTTTACATCATGAAATTTGTATCATAACGCCAAAGAAGAGAAAAAAAAATAAACGCACATTCAATCATTTTTATATTATACATGTACAATTAACAACCGTTTATTGGCACCAGGGCTCTCATATCAATGAATTTTGCTGGTCATGTCCTATCCAATAAAACTAGCCATCACTATTTCAGTGAATTGCATTTATTATCTGTTTACAAACTCACAATAAATGCTTAATAATAATCAGTTGAAAAACCACTTTTAATTATTTGGGTCAATTTGATAAAATAAAATAATACAAGCAAAAATGTTTGACTTTGAAGTGAGAGCCCTGATATGGACTAATAAAGACTCTGCTATACATTTACATGGAAGCCTATCACAAAATATATAAATATTTCTACAAATACTACATGGCATCATGTCAAAAAGAAAGATTAAGTTTAATATGACACATAAATGATACACAAGCAACAGGCTTTTAAGATTCTCATATATATTGGTGCTTGAAGATTTGAATTCATCCTCTCCTAAAACACATAACACACTACAAAGTGTTCTTTACTCTCATAATAAAAAAAGTAAAATAAATATTCTGCCAACAAATTTGTTAGGGCTACAAATATTTTACCTCACACTATTCTATTAAGTATTTCCATTAAAATATTAACTCTGATATTTGTTTGGATAGCTATTGATTGCTGTATCAGACTACTAGATTACTGTACATTTACTTACCTACTGGATGGATGCGGTGCAAATTGTTTTCTTGCATATTTTAAAAATAAATCATAAGGGCCCTGTTTCGTGAAGTGTACATAAGTTACGTTCAAGTTCAACAATAAATGTTTGATTAATGAGTGATTTCGAAACGTGTCCCTCAACAATTCTTACATTCACTGATCATAACTAATTATTACCCTGATCTTGGAACAATTTGGTCTATCAGTTTCTGCCTATAATAATTCTTGTCTAGTAATAAATCAACTGAGATTATAATTCATTGATGTATAATACGTACAAATGATCCATATATATTTTTCAAAAGGTACATTCAATCATCAAAAAGAATGAAAATGAAAAAAGAAAAATGAAAAAAAAAAGTCTGATCTTGACTTTTGCAACCTGTCAAATAATGAATATCCAACTGTTTAATTACATACATCTAAATAAAAGATGTAAGTTGGACTGGCTAAATAACATAAGCAAATTTATACGAGTCATTTTATTATATATATATATATATATATATAAATGACATAAATTAAGCATGAATAAATTCATCTCATTCATCATTTCATATTTTACACATTTTTTTTTGCGAATTCAAATTTGCCATAATTTCATAAATTCCATCAGGCAAAGTCAAAATCAATTTAATTAAAGATGCATTATGTAAAATTTAGAAAAGGAGCTTGATGTTCTTGCTTTAATGGTTAAAAAGTAGATAATGAAAAATGAATATATTGAAAATTTCATTCAAATCAAGTTATTATAAGAGAAGTTATGACTGTTGAAGATATAACATAGATTGTGTATTATCTTAGCAACGGTACTTGACAGCTGAAGCTTAGCCTTGATTGGCCATCCGATGAACTAGAGAGTTGATTATAGGCTTGTCATGTTAATTAATGTCTAAATAATAATTGATATAACATTCAAAGCCAAAAGAAAGACCTGCATAAGGCAGATTTAGTTCTCACATAATGCACCTTTAGGATAGTTTTCTATAAAACATGAACTGCTAAATATTGAGTTTGGAAGTTTGTCTAATTCTATGGACTTTCCAATTTTTAAATAATAGGAAAATTTGGTCCATTTCTGTAATAGGCACTATATCATTAGCCTATATTCACATTTATTTTAAACACATCAGAGTCTTCTTCTGAAGACAATGTGCAGTAAAAAATATTTTCCATAGGTTTAACATTTTGAAAGCATTAAAGTGAATTAAAAATAATATTACTCCATTCCAAAAATACTTATATGCCATTGATTTCAATTTCAACATAATAAACTTACTGTTTAAGATTTACATAACAAAAACATTTATACATTATTTATACATTTAATTCTTCCATCAATAGTTTTCAAGTTCAAAACAAAAATTGTAGTTAGGCCTACATACATAATTCTGAAGATTCAAATATAACTGAAAACTGTCTCAAAATTGTAAGAAATTCTTACTGTATAGAGTCACTTCAGAAAAGATATTCCAGTCACTTTGAGTTTCCAGGACAAAATGTCTGGATTTTTCTCCAACAACACAACTATGTAGTAATCCAATGACCTTGACCTTTCTGCCAAGAAAATGATGGCTGGTTTAATCAGGCACTGGGAAGCCAGTAGCATATCTTTGTGTCCACTGTCTGGCCTGACGATCGTGTTCTATCCGATTCTGTGTGTACTGTGTAGCGATGCTACCGACTAAAGGATCTGCGGGATTACAGTCAGTAAGAAGAGAACATATGGATAACAACACTTTAGAGATGGTCAACGCTGGGCTCCAATTTTCTTTTAGAATGTCCAAACATATAGCACCCTGACTATTTATATTACAGTGATAGATTCGGGTCTTAAAACTAACCTGAAAGGCAACAACATAAATAATTGTATTCTTTTGGATCACTCAAAAAATCAAGTATGCTTGATATTATTTAATCAAAAGTAGATTGGATGGGTTTTTTTTTTCACACTTCATTCTAATCTGACAAAAAACTAGCTGAAGGAAATTTGTAATCTGGACATGTTTTGTTGGCATAGAAATACCATTTACAGTCAATTAAATGTTCCAGGCATTTGTTTTCCTTGTCAATCAAAGGAGGTTTTTTGTTTACTATACATAATTAGAATATTATGCAGAATTTTCAGTATCAATGATTTTAATTGGTCTTTAGATTTGGCCTCAACTAATCACACACAGTACTACATATTACAGAACTAGTCAGATAAAGTCAGGTCTTCACAAGATGATAGCATTTTAATACATGTAATTCTAAACACAAAATAAATATAAATCTATGATGACATTCATTGTTATCCAGACAGTCTCAAAAAAGTATTATTTTAAAAAAACAATCAAGGTCTAGTTGTATGGATTACCATAAATGCCAAATATGTTAGATTCATAAAAATAAATGACATTTTGTAAGAACACTGCAGTGGTTTAGTTGGATGTCATTCATACTGCATTTGTTCAGTCATTACTATAATGTCTGACAAAAGTATTATACACACTCCAACTTGCTTTAAAGTTAGTTGTATGGATTATATATAATATCTGCCAAAATGTATTACATCTGTATACATTAAAATAGCATTTTGTTGTATCTAACCTTCAATACAACTAAATATAAAGGGTTTGGACAAAGTCATATTAATATATACTGCTCTTGTTCACATCAACACATATTGAAACATAAGACTATAACAGACATAAAGTAATATAATTTATACCTTTGGGGGTTTAAATGGATATTCATGAGAAAAATGGATGTCCAGAAAAAACACACCACCCTCATAAACAGAGCCATGTGGTCCTAATATGGTTGATGCCCATTCATACATATTGTCACCTTTTGGTCCTGCACTGAAATATAGAAATGAAATGGAATTTAAAATCTCAACAAAGTAAGACTAACACATCAGACCTGATGTGTCCACAGTCACCCATTAGAAAAACATCCACTAGATACACTTAATCCAAATTGTCCATAAAACTATTCAGACTTGGAAAAAATTAAATTCATACATTATTCCTATGGCTGAATCAAAAACACTATCATTGTATACATAAAATATCATTTTTCTAGAAAGTCTGTGAGTCAGTTTTGTTTTTACCATAGATTGGCTAGAAATAATACAGCCTAAAAATGTCTACGTTTGTCTACTAATTTTCCAGATTTTAAACGGGAAAGCCACAGATCATCAATTGAGTGATTTCGAACCTCTTGCAAACTACAATATTGTCAAAGTTGAATCTCTAACTAATAGGAATATCAGTCCAAAAATGCTTCAATTCCATACAGTACTTACAAAAATGGGGCAATATTCATCAACTTCTGCAGATGATAAAAAAAAAAAGCCAGTGCCACCTATATGTATAAGTATTGTTGAAATGTTTAATGGACCTCTTTTTAATCTGTTTGAACCCCAGTAATAAGACTATCTACCATTGATACAAGTACATGTTTGGACCCCAGCAATAAGATTATCTACCATTGATACATGTACATGTTTGAACCCCAGCAATAAGATTATCTACCATTGATACATGTACATGTATTTCAGTTTTGTTTTCTTAATTAAATGTTAAATACCAATTTGAGTGCATTATAGCCTGGCCCGCGACTGTACAGCGTTTGTTTGTGATTTCTGCGTAAAATGTCTTGCCCGTATATATATTTTTGTGTAAATTATGTGTGGTGCAGTCCCCCTGCACTTACTATTAGATACTGTCCAAACAAGAATGACCATACTATCAACAAGGAACCCTCAATTTGTGCTGTCATCGGCGTCATCTTTGAATTACATGTATTGTGATGTCACAATTGTCCAGAAAAGTCCCTGGTTCATAAATGCACACCACGATCAGTGGCGTCAAACCCTCAAGTTGTAATTATTAACAATAGACTGTGTATATGTTGTGTTCATACTGATGAAGCCTGACAAGGTTTGGTATTTAGGTTTTATAAGTCTGGCATAAGATAAGAGAACATTATCAATACAGTTGTCATTCATATCATTACCATCTGTTTTATCAAGAATACTATAAGAAACTTAAACTAATGCACCTTCACGTAAACACACCAGCAGTATTTATAATTTTGGTTAATCCCAATAGAACAAATATAGAAACTATCTACCAATATTTTTAAACACTATAGCCTACACTAGCTGAAGTAACCAGGATGTTCACTGCATGAGCACTAGGTCTAGCCATTCCAAATTGATTGTTAAGCACTCTTTGAAGTTGCTGATCATCATCATGTAACTCTTTTTTAATAGTTACTTCCATTAAAATAGGATGAAAAATACAGATTCTATTGTGTTCAGACGCAATTGTGGATGGACAATATTATTAAAACCAAGGCAAGGTACGATATAATTTTAATTAGAATATGACTAAAGATGTTGTTCACCAGTACCTGGGTTTATGCCATGGTTTTTCCTTCAACATAATGCACTAATTAAAGAGTCTATAATATACATCATGAGTCAAAGGTTACAAGAGTGCTGTACTATTATGATCGATGTTACACTGAATAACTGAAGGCTAATCATTAGATCAATACAGGATAGATGACATAACTATACTAATAGTCAACATAATATAAACTATCTGAACATTGATTTACATTCCCCAATACCAAGCGCATATACGGGATTTCCAAAAAGGGTAGATTGGGGACAAAGTTTTTAAACGATATTTAAAAATATGGACGGCCTATGGGGGATGGGGGAGGGCTATGTTTTTTGCAAAACCACATTTAAAGAGAAATACCTGAAAATAAGCTTATTTAGATTTTTTTTTCTTCAGTTTGGATGTGTCTGGTTTAATAACATATTTATTGGGTTGCATTGCAACTGTATATATATCTCTACAAATGTAAATTACATATTTTCTGCTCTATCACATAGAAAATGAAAAGTGTGATATTAGGTGTTCCCGAGTTCATGCAGAGAATGATTCTACCAAAAATCCCCAATATATATTCCAGCTTGATTAAAGATACATTATGGGAGATAAGATAAAGAGATGGCAGTTCTCGCTATAATAGTTAAAAACTAGATAGTGTTAAGGTAATTTGCTGAAAATTTCAGTCAAATTGATCCACTATGAGCCGAGAAAGAAGCGGATGAAAGTTTTGCATAGTCTTGGTCATCATTACTAAAATCATTAATATAAACAGCATAGTCTCGATTATCCACTTTTTTTTGATTTAATTATCAACGGCCGTTAGCGGCATATATGAATCTAATCCAGCCAACATCGAAGGCTAGCCTTGACATCGAGAGTTTATTATAGTCTGGATAAGTTAATTAAAGATACATTATGGGAGATTTTTACAGAGAATTGGCCATTCTTGCTATAACAGTTCAAAAGTAGATGATGAAAGAAGAATATTTTGAAAATTTCAGTCAAATTATTTTATTCTGAACATAGTTATCATTGTTGTAATATTTGACTAGAAATGGTAGTGAAATGTGCCTTCACCGTGGCTGATCGTTTGATTGACAGGCGTTAACTCCACCTACATATCTCGATTATCAAGTAAAGTTTTCAATGGCATGTGGAAACGCTCTACAGCGGCCTCGCTAAGTACACTCTATCATTTAGCCTCGATCTAACTGACGTATTCTCATCAGGATGCGCCATATTTGAATTAATTGATAAGTGAAATCCTATTTAAATCCGAGCTGTAGCCGAGCCATCCGTGGGTCTACAGAGTTGATTTTGGGCTTGTTGTTTAAATAAAGATCTAATTTATAATTTCTATAACATCTGAAGCCTAAATTAAGACTTGCAATAATCAGATTTTGCTCTTGCATAATGTATGTTTAATGTCTAATTGATAATTTAGGTAACATTTCAGGCCTAAACAAAGACTTGTAATAAGCAGATTTTGCTCTTGCATAATGCATGTTTAACTGGTCATAATGTTCATGGTTTTTATTCCCATATTCCTTGTCATACTCTAGCCTTGACTAGGTAGAACAGGGCTTGTAAAATTCTTAAAAGTTTTTTGGGACCCACACCAGGATTGAAACTGTGACCCATGATTAAATGGAGTAATAGTTTGGACTTGGGTTTTAGAAGCCCAAAGCTATTTTGTACATTGTAAACAATTTTTATATTGTCATGTCGACGTCACATCTACATGTATGATGGATTTTTTAATATACAAGTATGCTAGTATGTATATCACTCTTACTTGAGAGGTCATGGAGAATAATGATGGTGGGTCATATTAATAAAGACAGTAATGGATGTAAAGAATAGACAGGTTGCCAGACAACGAAACATACGCCCACAGCAGCTAAATCGTCCAACAGTTGACTAGGGATGTTGCATTGTTATTCTTTTATAGACACTGGTATCATTTTAATACATATCAGACAATAACTTTTGTTAATTGAGCACTTACATGGTTCTACAATGTGAAACACAGGCAAAAACACTTATAACTAATTAATTGAAATTATTGAAATATGAAAGACTTTTCCATTTTACCAATTTAAATAATCCATATAAATTTCATACAGATGGGATGATAATAACTTTTGTCATGTGAGTGTTCACAAAGTTTTGCAAAGTGAAACAAGGGTCATAACTTCAGAAGTAATGGAAATAATTGAAATGTGATAGGCCTCTACGTTTTACTACTTTAAACAAGCCAAAAGTGAGGCTATGTTCCCGCTGAAATCCCGAAATAATAGATGAAACATATTAATTAATTGCACATATTTTTTTTTCAAAAGTATCGGGCAATCAAACTGATTATCAACTATACACTAAGTTTCATCACTCTCTATAAGATATAATCAAAGTTATCTTGTCCCAAAGCATCGATCAATGAAATTGCTTAGCTCTGCTTAATAACTGAAAGCAGAGATGTTATGTTCCAAAGTCTTGACCAATCAAATTACTTATCGCTCCTTAGTCTAACCAGAAAATTCTCATCATCGAACTTAGTCAAGGTAATGATATAATGAATCTATACTCAGAGTTTTATCGCTCTCACTTAATTATAACCAAAGTTATCGTGACCCAAAGCATCAACAAATCAGATTGTTTATCTCTGCTTACCGTAAGCAGACAATTTTCATCATTGAACTCCATGAAGGCATTTACCTAATGAACGCCTGCACCAAGTTTGAACATTCTACCTCAATTAGGAGAGTTACTGTGTTCCAAAGTCTCAACCAATGAAATTGCTTATCGCTCTGCTTACCCTCAGCAGAAAATGTTCATTATCGAACTTAGTCAAGGTATTGATGAGATAAAACTATACACCTAGTGTCATCACTCTCACTTAATTAGAACTATAGTTATCGTGTCCCAAAGCATCAACCAATTGTTTATCTCTGCTTACCCTAAGCAGAAAATTCTCATCTTCGAATTACGTCAAGGCATTCACCTAATAAACACCTACATGTACACCAAGTGTGAAAATTCTAGTTCAATTACATGAGAGTTATTGTGTACAGACATCACAAACAACACAAATATCAGATCAAGTGAATGGATCTGGGGTCTAAACGTAAGAACCAGTGCGCTGTATAATCCCGGGCCTGTAGTAATACAGACTTGACTCAAAATATAATACAAACTAACAATAACAGAAGCAACTCAAGAAAAGATAGGTTACCAGGCAACAAAACATAGACCCACAGCAGCTAAATCATCCGGGCAGTCAGCAAGGGTTGTCACATATTTATTCTTTTGTATATGTAATGGGAGCAATTACAAGACATTGATATCAACTTTATACAGATTGGATGATAACTTTTGTCGTTTGGGTATTCACAATGTGAAATCTCACTTATCTACATGTAAACATATGAATTTAATACACATCGGATGAC